GATTTGCCGTGGTTCACGAGTGATGGAATTCACATTACTGTATGATGCAAAATGCATAAATTTATCTCTTTGAATGATCTGCGGTTTACAGTATTCGGGATTGAGGAGATTGCCATATCCGACGTCTATTGTCTGGAGAGAATAAAGAATTTTATCTTTTTTTGGAGCACACGTTTTCAGGAAATTCCTTTCAGCTAAAAGAGACATGTCGCTGACAAATTATGGGCAACAAATTAGCGGCAAATTAGAGTGGACTGTAATCGTGTTTTTGTTTGATTTTATCACTGAATATTTTCTTGGTAGATTAACGACTGACATGTAGTCATTGTTTTCGTTTCGTGCAGTAAGCCTAATTCATAAGAGTATTAAAGTATTAAGCGAGCACAAAGCGAGACCGGTACATAGAGGGCTGGGCCACGGCATCAAAAGATATAGATTACAGTGACCATATACTGTACATTAGTTGGAATTGGAAAAGCAGTGAATTATGGAAAAGATAATGTTATGTGCCGTCAAGAACTTTGGGTCTTTTGTGAATGCTTTGTTAATTTTAAGGTCTTTTAAATCAAGTTTGTTTGGTTAATCGACACAGAGATTAGATCAGACTCGTTAAGCCAAATTACCAGCTGCTTTGAAATGCTAGTTGTAAAACACTGATAATAGTGATAACGTACGTATTAATTCTAAAAACAGTTTTGAATCTCTCCCTTCGAGCAGAATACCCTCGATATTATAAAACAGAGTGAAAATAAGCCTAAAATGTCATTATCAAACCCAAAGTAAACACTATATTTTCTAGTTGAGAGATATTATAAAGAATTTGATACATTTTCCTACTTGCTATCTGATCCGAGCTTCTGCACTTGTTGGTTTTAAATCACAATAAGTTAGGAAATTGCTTTACACTTAACGGCATGCAATCGGCCGGAACCAGCAAAACCTCTTCAAAATACACGCCGACATCCCAAAGTGCAGAGTATTCAAAGTACGATGATGGCGAAACGAAGCGACAAACATTGAAGCTTTCGCCGTATATTTTCAGCTGTTCGCACACTTGAGCGCCTGAAATATTTCCATTTACTAGGAATAGAGATCTCCAGTTCCTATTTTTCATCAGGCTTGAGAAAGTTATGAGAATAAACGTTGGTTGTATGACTTATACCATTCCATGGCCGGGAAAGTGATTTTTCCGATTCACGAATGAGTTGAATTACACACTGTAGGTGTGGAATTGAACAATGTCTCTTCCTTAACCTTTTGTCCTTGCTCTTAAGACGTACACTTTTGAGCTTTTGTTTCGTGAGATGTCAAAACTTTAACACTTACCTCAGTACGTGAAAATATTGCAACTATCCTTCACTCAGTTTGTTTTCAAAAGCAATCCGGCGGTCGGTGAAAGTTTCCAGTCCAAACCGAGGAGGTGCTTGAGCAGATTACCACTGAAGCAACAAAAATACAGCATTAGTTAATGCGAAAATAAGAGATTTTGTTTGTGAAGTATTATGTTACTCGAGATTACGATGAGAGGTTATGTAAACAGGCGAAGACAGTTGAAGAATAACAGGAAGGACGCACTCACATAAAGTAGCGGGAAACACGGCGTGTGGCAACCGCGAGTGAAAAAGGCGGGAAAATTATCGCGTTGGAAGGGTCTTAGAACATCACGTAATATTGAAGACATTACCATATTGGGAAATTTCAGTCTAGAATTGATCATTTAAAGAAATACAACAAACAGGATTTTTTTTTATTGCAGACAGTCATCAGACAGACAAACTTTGACGGGTTTATTATCCTGACATCATAGCGTACGGCTAGCGTCTCTTTTTTGTCGATTTGGCGCCCAGCATTGGACTTTGGCCAATAGGTTTGAACACCCGATTGAAGCAGATTGAATAAAACGCAGTTGCGAAGCTTTTAAATAATGAGCGGAGACATCTTCCTTTCAATTTCAAAACCAGAAAAAGTCTGTATGAGACCTTTTAGTAACGTTATCGGTGGCCTAAAAAGTCGAAGAGGAAAGCTTAAGTATCGGTATAACCCGAGAGATCCGTTTGCTACTTTGTTAAAATACTGAAATAAGGTTCAGTGTAATATAGATTCTTCAGCGACACGACGCAAAGCCTAGTTGAGCGAGTATCGTGACTGGCAATTGCCACCGCTACAACAGCCGAATCATATTTTTTCCAGGAATATCTACGCGACACGAGGCAATGCACGAGGCAAGCATACTTACATCTTTGCACAAAAATATCTGCCGCTTAATTACTGTGCTACTTACGTTGAACATGCGCTAAGAGAGCATTTTCTAGTTTCCTGCAGTGTTTCCTGATTGTTTCGTTCCTCAACCCTGGACACACCAGCCTATACCTAATGTAATCAGTTGGGAGTAATTGATAGCAATCAGAAAATTATCGAGAATTAACCGAAAGTAACTTTAATTATTGATTACAAACATATTATTACGCAGTTGAAAGAATAAAACAAACAATGATTAAACAAGACTTACACAAAGAGTGGATTTTTGTGCATCCCCAAGGAGCCCAATTCACTTTGTTTCCGGAGCCAACAACAAGACCTAGGTGGTGACAAATTTAAATGATGAACAAAGTAAGTGGTTTCTATGGTGACCTTTCTTGCGTCATTTGGCAGCCGTAATTGTGAGGATGGCTCGGTATACAGTTCAAGTTTAATTTGTCTTCGTTTTCCAAGTGAGCCATGCTAAATACCGAAGCAAAAAGCGCTCGTTTGCTAGCTTTATTTGTTCGGTTGTAACTGGGTAACCGGAGCTACATGAATGTAGAACTCAAATACAAATAAAGACATTCAAAGATTGCATGTGGCTACTGGTGTAGGGCAGTTGTTATAGCATCAAAAAGAACTAGAGGTTGTATAATGACGCTAGTAGGAAGTGATGTAGAATACTTGTATCCCATGCAAGACAGAAAAGCTGCCGCATCCCACATAATTATTAGTGATTACCAATGCTTCTTTTAACTTAACTTTAATTGCAATTCCATTTTTGAGACTTTTGCTTCATACGAAAAGGTATTCTACGTTTTAGGATATTCCTTCATTCCGCGCCTTAAGATATTCAGGCCTTCTGGCGATCCACTGTTTCTCCGTTCCATCATTCAGTTCAATATCTCAAGGTATCGTTTTCTGCAGCTGGCTCGATTCGCAAATTTAGCGGCTTGTTCCGGCATAAGTCGCTGATTCAAATGGTAAAATACTATTTTCCAAAGAGAAAAAAATTTTCTCAAAGCTTCCAGGATGTGCAGATCATATCTATTGAGATTTTTCTGCTAGGAAAAGTTATGATTTAAATCATGCGTCGGTGGACCTCACTGTAAAATTGTTTTGAGATGTTTATCGTCTTTTGTAGTGGCACGGCAAGAACTGAAAAGATTATATCATCGGATCCACATGATTGCCGATTTAAACGATAAAATGATGTCTTTTCAAAGAAAAAAAAATTTTTTTCATGATGCACCGATCACACCTTTTAAGATGTTTCTGCAAGGAAACCTTTTGCTCTTAATAGCGCGCAATCCTGAAATGATTGTGAGATGTGTATCGTCTTCTGATGTCTTCCGTAGTGTCACGGCAACAACTGAAAACACAATAGGCTTGTAGCCATGAGCCAGAAATCACAAAAGGAGAGAATTCAACTGTGTATCGAGTGCCAATGTCGCCTTCTATGATACTCCGCAAAAAATCATTAAGTAGCACCGGGCAATTGGGTCAAGGTTAGAATTCTATTGTTACGCATACCCGAGATCGGAATTTTATTATTGCACCCACTCACTCATTCTGCTCCCCCTAGGAGGCAGAAGCCACAAAAATAAAAGAAAAATAACCAAAAATAAGTAAAATAAGCACCGCCTTGCAGACTTTCCTTTCTCGGGAAGATGGGTTTTTATGAAATCGAGGCTACTATTCCCAGATCTCCACCAAACTAAAGCATGCTTCAAGGAAAGATGGCAGATGGGATAGCGGTGAATTTCTAGAGATTCGAGTTAACTCTCTGGTGCATATCTACCATACTCATGCATTTCCTTCAAGTGCGCTAATTCAAGAGGCACAAGTCAGACCAGGTATGTTCATGAAGTGAAACAGCATGTATCAAAAGGCGTTTTTTAAGCATGCAGACTACGTGACAATTTACCCTTGACGTGCGCGTTTGCTTTTAGCAACCGGTTCCTGTAGTGATGTATCAGTTCGCAAAGTATTGCACAACTCGATGAAATCTACTACATAACTACAGATTCATTCATAGCCCCGTGTATCATTTTCAAAACGACCAGAAACTCTGGGAGTTACGTCTGCATGGTTTTAGTTTTGCCACGTAGTGGATCAGCTGATACATGCATTTCCATGTTCGTGGATTGTGTGACGATTGCATGAGAAAATTATGGTTTTCTTGTGCAAGTTCTAACGCATTAAAACCAAAATTAAGAAGACACCTGTGAGAATATTGCGTCGCTAGGTCTTCTGTTGCTAAGAGGAACTCAGAGTCCTGCGTTTAGTAATTGGGCATTGTATTTATCCACTGTGAGAAGAATTAACGCTAAGACTTGATGGTCTTTAGAGATTATAGAAGACCCTCGTTACTTCAATTATTTTCTAAATTTTGTTATTTTATGTTACTATACTGTGTAAGTTTTGGTATTCTTTTAATCTGTGATAGGTAGGAAACTTTCCAAGAAAGGTTAGGAAAATGGTTAAACAACTTTTATTTCTAAGGAATCACCTGAATTGGTACCATACCAGCAGAGTGTCAATAAAAACCTCTT